GGGTTAGGGGACGCCCGAAACGGGGGTGTTGAGCGTTGCTGGGTGGCTTGAGTGGCACCGACACCCACCAGAGGGTCGTGGCTAGAACCGCGGAAAATTCCCGGTAAGTAAGCCGTCCTCCCGCCCATAACGTGCAGACGTGCAAGTGATGCATTAGTCTGTTTAGAAGCTTTCGCCTCTCAACATCAAACATGAATAATGGTGAAAAGGCACCTCTTTGAAGCACGTGCAAGCGCAGCAGCCCTGTTTGGAAAACTTCCCTGCCGCCGTCCTCAGGCCGGTGCGGGGGGGAGTGGGCGACGACGGCGCGGGCAGATGCGGGCATTAACCCTGCCCTCGGCCGCGCTGCCCCGCAGGAGGTGAGCCCCTGTGGGAAGGGGAGAGGAGCCGAGCGGCTGGATTCCTTTTCTGAGCGTGGCTTGCGTGGCCTCCTGCGTATCCTGAGCAGAAACCTGCACTCCGAAGTGCCCTGGCGCTACAGGAGTGCTCGTGCCACGCTGGGGAGTCCTAATTAGCTGGCTTCATTGTAATTCTATTGAGGCTGCTTCAGTGACCCAAAACCAGCATATGCTGTTCATAACAGAGCTCCAGTCGACACGAATGTTCTCTAGCAATGCAAACGAAAGAGTCGCCGAACTTCGCAGCGTGACGCTTTTAAGAGTGAAATCTGGCGGGTAAGGAAGAGGTGCGCTGCCCCTGAAGGCGATTGCAGCGTTACCTACTGACAGTCTGGATTTCCATGTGTTTGGCTTAAACGGCTGAAGGCGGTAGCGCTTTTCTGAGGTTTTTGTTTGTCAGGAAGGTTGATCTGTCACAGGGACTGAGGAAAGCCTCACCACTTGGTGAAAGAGCCGACGCGACCGTTGCTTTTTGCCCCCTTGTCCCCAGTGAGGCATTTACTTGCGCAGCCGTTCTGAAACTCTGAATTGTGGGGCTGCTCCATCTTAAGGTGACTGAAAGTGAGAAGGACGTAATGAAGTTGGAGTTTTTCATTTAATGTCTGTAGAATACATCATCTTGAAACTACAGTGCTACTACATCCCACTTAAAATTGTCTGTCTTTATAGTCTGAAACTAGGGGTTTTTAAATTTAAAAAAACCCAGCCTTTCCAGGGCATATAAATGAAAGCAAAACTAATTATGTAAACCAGATTTCTTACGGCTGTCTGGGGGTGAAAATCTTGTTCAGCAGACGACTTTTTGCAGTGTCCTCAAACTGTAGGAATTGTCAGGATACTTTCCAGGAAACAAAGACGGGCTTCCAATAGGTGCAGTCAGCGGAGTGGACAAGGAAGCACGAGGACAGGTTTGGAAACTTATTGAATTGCACCGAGCCACCCAACAGTGAGACTTGAGATTCAGCTCATGAGTACAGCGTGTAAGAAGCTGCTTCTGTACCTGTGGTTAAGCAGGAGACCGGGGCATCCGCACCAGAGCTGAGGCTCCTGGCATTGTGGGCAGCCCACCGCAGAGCCCACGCGAGTTACAGAGCAGTGAGGTCTCTTGGGTGAAGCTGAGCCTGCACGTCGCCCATCAGCGGGAAACTGCTGCTGTGAAGCTTCTAGAACCTGTTCTACAACACTGTTGTCACGGTTATCTTCTGAATGTGATGACTAGAAGAGACAGTCAAATGCAGATGCGTGGTGGCCGTGTCTGTTTAGGAAGTCACCAAAACACGTGGGTGGCAGTGAACATAGATTTGACAGAAGAAATCCTTGCCGAATGTGGAACACGGGTGACTTGGTCCCTGGGCTGTACGCTGCTCTGTCTGCTATGGTTTATTGCTACACGGGATATAGCGTGTTTAACTTACCTGTTTCAAAGAAATTTGAATCCCGTTAGGACGTGGGGATGATACGTAACCAAAGCACATACTTGGGTTGACGCTGTTGGCATAAGGCTGAGGTCCCCTGGGATTAGTTTGGTTGAGCAAGAAGGAGGGAACGTTAGGCTCTCTGTGTAACAAGTGACTGTGCTTACAAGTCCTGGCAGTGTTTCTCAGTGCCTGTAAGAAAATAGAAAATTTTCTGTGGGTGTAGGGGAACCGTTTCTCTGAAGTGCTCGGAGCACACGCACGCTTCACCATTGGCTTCCCTGTGTGCAGTTGCCTCCAAGGAATCTCCGTGTAGGCAGGTCACGCAAATTAGGTGCGACTTCCGTCTCCCCCGTAACTTTGGTTAGCAGTTCCAACCTGTCCTGCGTTACTGGTTTGAATGGTAAGTCCTGACTAAAGCACTTCATAGATGGCCGAAGGAAGGTTTCTGTCCTCCCTTTGGGAGGAGGAGAGATTTGAAAAGCAGATAAAAAGAATGAGAGGCAACTCCAGCATAGCTCTCGTTACAGTAGGTGTGTTCAGGGTGGTAAGTATTAAATATACGGGGAGGCAGCATGTTTAGTGTTAGAAACATGAATTACGTTGTAGTAAATTTTCTTTGGTCTCTTTCATTCCTCTCTAGCTCGGATGCATGCGAGGTTTCCTTCAGCTCTAGGACAGTTCAGTAAGATATTTGGAAGTGCTGCGAACAGGCTATTAGTGCCTCAAAACCCCTGATCTTGGCAAAGATACTGAGGTCATGGCCAAACCAAAGCTACAAGACTGAAGAATGTGTGCAGCTCCCTGGGAAGGCTGGAGATATCTCCATTGACATTGAAAATGTTTGCAAAGTG